TTAATGTTTTCTCAAGTTTTTAAGGGGGGAGAATACAAGTTAAAACACCAAGAACATAACTAAATGTTTCTAACAGCCTTCATTAGAAAAGTTCCACTCCATTCATGGACTGTTTTGGACAACTTAAACATTTTATTTTTCAAAACTGTTTTAGGTGCAAGTAGTTCCACTTCTTAGCTTTAAAATGACTACTTGAACATATCCATACGATTTTTCTACAATTTATGGTGATTTTTACAAAACAGTCTGTCTTTTCAAACACAAACCCGGACCAGTCTGTGAATATGAGCATTTTAAGACAAGTTCAAAGCTTCCAAAAATCATGATAAAAATTATAAGTAAACTAGACACATTTTGTGAACTCTCGGAATTTACGGATCTAGTTTTCGACTTCGTATGATTTTTCTATGATTTTTGTAAAACAGTGCTGAAAGACTAAGAATTAATTAACAGCTTCTAACTATCAAAACGCTTTGTAACATGTTGAGCAAAGTGTTAAATCTTTGATAAATTCATATATTACATGTATTTCTTGTTATGATATATTTATATAATAGGAAATTACTTGCTGAATTTATAAGAATCCTCCATCATAATCATTAATACAAAACAAAGCAAGTTAATCATAGTTATATCGTACTATACGTTTGACTTACATAGAGTGGGATTCTTAAACGCCACAGAGAAATATACTAAACTATAATAGGTATAGTTAGGGTACATATACATTTCAAACATTTTAATAAACTATAATAGGTATAGTTTATGATCATTTACATAACATACTCGTACAAAAAGGGGGGTACAAATACAAATTACCGGGTTTTTATACAAAAGGGGGTACAAATACAAAGTGTCGGGTTTATATACAAAAAGGGGTACAAATACAAAGTGCCGGTTTTTATACAAAAGCGGTACAAATACAAAGTGCCGGGTTTATATACAAAAAGGGGTACAAATACAAATTGTCGGGTCTTTATACAAAAAGGGGGTACCGATTCAAAGTACCAGGTTCACTTAAGATAGTTATTATGATATTAAAACTATATTGCATCTAGAATTGTTAGACTTCAACTATAATCGCTGAGCGTACATGTTTGAGTCTTATAAGAATTTTGTCTTGATTGGCCTAGAATTAGTGGTGCCTGCCTCATCTCCTGTTCCTTGTTTGGTTATGGACCTAGGGCAGACCCACTATATTCAACGTTTTATCTAATTTAAACCTTATATAACTTATATACACTGGACGATTATAGAGGAACTCTACGGGTCATTCTAGGGTTCATTAATGCATCATATAGGAATATTTCTATTCACACTTAACTAAGAAAATAATGGATTTTCTGGAAATCAAACTATATCGATTTTACAAGGAAAACGGTTTCTACTTCAAACAAAACTCTTATGAACTCACCAACTTAATTGTTGACACTTTTCAAAACTACTTGTATTCTCAGGAAATCAGTGAAACAGGAAAACTTCATCGCTTTGAGGATGGGACGTTAAACTGTCAACAATTTATTTTTGTCATCATAATGTAATTGACTTTGAATCATGTAAACATATACTTTGGTGTAACATTTTCAATTATATTTATGATGGTTGTATTTACTTTGAGCACTATTATTTTCATTGTTGTGATACTGTACATGAAGTCCTCCACCCCCGGACGTTTCCGCCATCCTTGGTTTGGGGGTGTGACAAGGACCCTCTTGGTTCGGAACCCTCTTGGGCCGGAACCCCTCTCTACTTCGGAGCTTCTAATGGATTTCGGAATGCCCTAGTTTGCTTCGGAACACCTTCACTCTGGAGGGATTTGCTCCGGAATCACCTCGTGCGGATCCTTCGGTTCTACTGCGGAAGACCTCGCCTCGCTTCGGAATTCCCAGCCGGCTTTGCAACTCATGTCCGGACCTCCGGACTTCACATGTGACTTCGGATCCGAGAAAACACTCTAGAACTGAGTGAATGCTCCGGAATTTTGCCACATGACTCCGGAACTCCCCTAAGCCCTTCGGACCCTCCTAGATTCCGTACTACACTACTGATTTTTTTCCATTTCAGATTATTTCTTCAGTTTAGGCTATTTTGACGTCAGGAATTCCTCCAAACTTGTGTTTTTCATATCTTAGACCCTTTAAACCCCTATTTTATACTAAAATTGATTATTTTAAACATATTTATATGAAATAATACCCAAGATTTTTAAAGAGATTCTAACTAGATAAGGGGTTTGACTTTATGATGTGATGCAAATCCCCCGTTTTTCCATGCAAATCTCAGTAAAACCCATATTACCCATAGATAATAAGGTTATCCACCAGCTCTCCAAGCAAATGTCGAATCACCCCTTATCCCCTCCATTTAGATACGTGAACTCATTTCCCCCTTATTCCACTTCTCATTTGCATACTCAGTAAACTCCTAAGAGGTGCTCTTAACTCATTCAAGCTTCAAGTCTCATTCCTTCAAAGAAAAATTCCTATATTTTCGTAATTATCTCATCTTCTTTGACTAGTGATTCTCCACATTATTCCTAAGATTTCATTATATTTACACATAAAACTATTCTTAGGATATTCTAAAGTCCAAAGAACCTTTCAAGTGTTGGAACTTGGAAGCTCCTTAACACTTCTTCAAATCACCCAGCAAGCTAAACCAAGGTGAGCTTCATATCCCTAATTTTTTGATATTTTTATTGTTTTGGGGGGAGGATGCAAGTCAAAACTTTGTTTTAAATCTTAGTTTGCATGCTTGTTATGCTTGTATGCTAAATTATATGTGTTAAAGTTATGAAAACATCAAGAACTCGAAATCTTGGGCAAGTCTCAAGTGTGAAAGTCATATTTCCCAAAATATACAAAGAAACAAGAACTAGCATGTCACAAAATAGAAGTTACAAGCTTCTATAACAAAAACCATAAGTATTTACGTTAAATTTACTTAAACTAGCATTTAAAGGGAAAGAGACCACTTTCAACAAACCACCTAGCTTTGAGTCACATTTTGACAAAAATGAGTCTTATTTGTTAAATTATAAATTGAAGAACCATTTTGCCGACATCAAGAATATTGGGTCTTTTTGACGAGCCTGATTTATAAAGGAATATTTTCTAAATGAAAACGAAATATTTAGCCAACTAGTACGCCATTTCTGTTTATGTAATAAATAATGGATTACAACGATTTGCTACAAAATCTATTAGTATTCTAATCAGACGAATCTTCACAGTATATATATATATATATATATATATATATATATATAATAGTGTACGCTCAGAGTCCAGTAAGAGTTATAACCATATATATATATATATATATATATATATATATATATATATATATATATATATATATATAATAGTGTACGCTCAGAGTCCAGTAAGAGTTATAACCATATATATATATATATATATATATATATAATAGTGTACGCTCAGAGTCCAGTAAGAGTTATAACCAGGGTCTCCTGGAGGGGGAGCGAGAATTTGTGTATAGATCTATACGGGGTTGACACCCCGCACCTTCGTTGTTCGCTACAGCTAGACCGTCAGTCTAGGGTGACAAATGTCTTAAACAAAACTGACGTTCTGAAGAACGTCAGAAACAGGCACTCCGTCATATTATATGGTTATAACGACTCACTAAGAATATAAAAGTGTGTTTTAGAAAACTACTCAAGTTACACTTTTTGATTTTAGACAACGATTGTTTTGAGTACTACAACGAAACTTTTATCACGCCAGTCTTAGAGTTTTAAGACCACCAACTTATTCATCGGAAAATATAAGATTTTATGGGGAAAACAAATTTATATGATTTTGTAAAACGATAAACTAAATCACACATGCAACTATACCCGATTTGTTTCCACTCTTCAAATTAGTCCCGTTATTCATTAAATGAACTGAAGATACAAAAACAATGGAATCCAAATCAACCCCAACATGATTGTCGTTAATATTGTTAAGACCTAGTTAAAATTTGTATCAAATTCCACCGCTAAAAACGAAGAATCAAGTGTTTAGATCGAGTGAGGTTTAATGGCGAAGTAGAACGCGAAGAAGATGAAGTGAAATAGGAGCTTAATAATCATATTATTATGTAATCAAGGAGATGCAACGAATAAGGATGGAGAAAAAAATCGATGATGCAAAAAGTATAACTGTAGGAATAGGAACAGAAATACATGGGCATCAACAAGATGATCTTCGAGTCGCAACAAAAAGACTTTGGATTCATTTTTCAAAATCAAATTTGCAGACGACCAACAAGAGGAAGGTTGACGAGGAAACCTGCAACAAGAATTTGGACTTGAGAGAGAGAGAAAGAGAGAGAGAGAGAGAGAGAGAGAGAGAGATTCTATTGTTTTAATCCTCCTTAATAAATGAAAGTTTTTTTGTCACGTGTCTTCTTCTCCTTTATTTGGACACATGATATTTTCTAAAATTTTTGAATTTTCTATTTTCCACTTGTTATTTTATTGTATTTTTCATTTTATTAAATTAAAATTCCACATTTAATATATAAGGTAATATATATGTAAGATATTTATTAGAAATGATTTATATATGTAATGTATTCAATGTATTAAAACCTTATTAATTTTAATAATTTAAATTTTTTCTCATTTTTCTTATAAATTTAAACTTTTCAAATTATAAAAATTTTATATTTAATTTTCTTTTTAAGTAAACCCATGTAATACATAAGTCTCACACCTAGTTATTAAAATATTAAGTAGATATTAAAAATGTAAAAAATAAAAATAAAAGGATATAACAATCATTTTAATTTTCACACACACCATTTTTCCGGTAGAAACATAACCAAAAAGATCACAAAGAAAAAAAAATCGAAGGTTAGACGAAAACCTCGAAAAAATATATAAGCATTGGCCACTTTTGCAGTTTTGTGTCTAAAATATATGTAAACAACATGAAAGCAAATATATGTATATCCAATAAAGTAGAAAAGTCAAAAGAAAATTATATCTTCGTCTTTACATGAGTATCAGAAAAGTCACTCCATGCACCATTCCTTCTCTGGACCTATGACCATTATATACCGTTTGTGTTCATGCATAAACACAAGCTTTAGTATATCTTTCTAAAATATGAACAAGAATGTATGTTGTATGAAATACACAGATGCTTAACTAAAGCATGAGTTGTGTGTATTAAAAAGTAGATGCATATTTTGTTAAGGATGTCAAACCGTTGGATTGGGATTGGCTATCAATGTACAAGTATAGAATCGGATAATCTTGAATCTATAAGCCTTGAGATCTAAGCTTATTTAAAAGTGCAGTTACAAGAGCATCTCGCTTCTGCGCTCTATCTTCTTCTCTCATGCTTCTTTGCTCTTCTCTTTCCCTCCATCTCTCATACAACATTGTTCTCTCCTTGCCTAATGCTTCCATTGCCTGCCTCCACTCCAGCTCCTTCATCCTCCTCTCTTCTTCTTTTGCCTTATACCATTCCATCGATTGCATTTCATGTTTCATATACTCTTCCAATAAATCCTTCAAGTTACTAATCACGTTGCTGCTTGTATCTTCGGGGTTACATTGGCTACTACTCTCTATACCCTTCTTCTTCTTTGTGATCTTACTTCCACTCGCCTTCTCCATATCACTGTCATCATTGTCCGAAGCAAACTTCATCTCTCTTTTCCTGGATCCACTTGCAACACCTTCTGCTTCCATCCACAGGAGCCTTTGCATGCGATTTGCGAAGATCGTTTGTAACTCATCGTAGAATGGGAACTGTTGCCTCGTACCTTCTTGCTTCATCGTCTCATATCCCTGGTTCAATTCCAAGAAAACATGAAACTTTTTTTCTAAAAGAAAAGATAGATATAATTATGACAAACCTTGTAACGCGTAACAAGATTCTTCCACTTGCTTTTACATTGATCACCACTGCGATTATAACCCCTCTCCTTCATCTTTGTAGAGATAACTTCCCATAGAAGCTTGTTACGCTTTGTCTCCATGAACTTTGAGTCCAGTTCTGCCCTAACCATCAATAACTCCCTTGTTTCTTGTACACTCCATTGCGGAAACCTGTCAGCAGCAGCAGCACCACCACCAGCATCAAGAACTCCTTCGCTGATAAGAAGGTGGCTAGGGTCCATATACATATCAAACAGATGAGTTTCTTGAAATATTCGCCACGGGAGATGATCATAGCATATGAATTGGAGTCTTGTGAAGGTTTGAATGAGAGAAAAGAAAGATTGATTGAATAAGGATATGCAAGAGATTATATAATGTTTTGCTGTGTGAATTCAAAGTGTGAAATGGTCAAAGTTTTGAGAAAGTCAAAAGAAAAAAGAACGATTCTTAATGTGCTTACACGACAATGAAAGCATGCAAGTAAATTGTTGGTTGTGACCGAATAAAAGTTGGTCATCAGTAGGATGCAGTATAGTGTTGGTTATGACCGAGTAAAATATAAGTAAAAACGCAGTAAAATGATTATATCTTGATATTGCTTACAGTTACCTCTCGTTAAAAAATTAAATACAAAATTTTAAAAACTCCCTTTTTGGTTGTTGTTAGTTGGGCATTGTAAAGAAAAAAACATATATATTATTGTTTTGTTATGATGATTATGTCTTTATATATTTTTTGATTTATATTTATATATAAAAAAAATGTTTTCCAAGGTTACCGATTTTGTAGAAAAGAATGCTTGGACAACATGAAAACGTTATATATTAATACCAACAATATAAAGTTTTGTATTTATTATCGGAGTTATGATAAAGATCTAGATATGATTTACTATTAATAGGCTTTGTATTTTATTTATTATTATTTTTTTTGTATATTTTGTTAATATCTAAAACTTATACAATGAGAAATTAAACATCACCAGTTCAATCACTATAAACATAATTAAGCAGCTAGATAAATAAGATGGTAAAAATATACTCTGTCTTTTTGTATTTTGCTCGGATGTAAAACTAAACAACAGATTTTTCTTAATAAGCCAGGCATTATTAGTTTAATCAATAAAACAATACTTATATAATTCTTAAGATGATAAAACTGCCGTGTGTTTGTCCTTAAAATAATAGAAAAACATTACCAAGCCGTAGAAATCATTTGAAAACCAACATCAACTAAAGTTCTTTTCCTTTCCCGTACGCATCTTTGACCAGTTTTTCCACAAGATTACTTAAATTAAAGGTTATAGTTAACCATTTGGACAATTTGTCTTTTATTTTCCTAAAGTCAAACGTGGGACCCATTACAATCTCGGTTGACTAAAACTATAGAGAAGAGGTTTGTGCTTTTACCAATGTAACCCTTGTGTGTTATCAATAAATATCAAAAGTCATGGTTTGACCAATGTATGGGTGATATTAATGGCATTCCTAGACCTCTAAACGGGTGTTTTGACCATGATTCGACCAAAGGTATAAGAAATTTACAAATTTCAGGTTTAATTTTCGATTCGTTTATCCGTTTATGATCCATGCTCGTATACCTTTTTATTAAATAGGTTGGGTATGGATCATTACCGATTCGTTCTGCTTATAACCCCTAATATATATATATATATATATATATATATATATATATATATATATATATATATATATATATATATATATATATATCAAAAGGAGAAATTATTATTAACGATATGTTTATTGCAACTACTTTAGTTTAAGCTCCAAATCAATTAACTACTGAAAAGGGTCTTCAAAAAATTATTTACCAAAATAATTATGCAAATGAAACCTTATCTAGTATTACCGAACATTTAGTTAAAATTGAAGAAAAAATTTTCAAAGATAAAAACGTTAACAAGCAAGATATGGCAAGCACTAGTAATTTAAGTTTTGTTCCTTGCCAAATCGATGGTAATTTTAATCTAGGAAATACAGATTTAATTAACGAATTAGAAAAAAGACTTTCAAAACTTCATATCTCAAACACTAATAATATTAATACTCTTACGAATGAAGAATCTGAAAATAGTGATATTAATAGTGAAACAAATTTTGAAACTCTTGCTCAACAATTTGATACAAATGATGATATTAATCAACTCACTAATGACTTTTCAAATCTTAATAAAATTCATCAATCAAAGCAAAGCACTTTCGGGAAAAATCCAAAACCAACCATAAGAAATTATTGGAATAGACCCTCTCTTCCAGATGTTCAACTTGAAGAACGAAGTTTTCAATTTGATCGTTCTCAATATGATGATAATTCTATTTATGAATGGAATATTGATGGCCATTCTGAACATCAAATTATGAATATTGTACAAGAAATGATTATGGCTGCTAATGCTTATAAAGCTCATAATAATACTCAACTCCAAATTGTTAATATTATTACTTCTGGTTTTACTAGCAGTCTTAAAGGCTGGTGGGATTTCTATATTTCACAAGAAGAAAAGGATTATATTTTATCTGCTAAGAAAACTATTATAAAACAAGAAAATAATCAACAAATACAAACGTTTGAAGATGATATGGTGAACACTTTAATTTTTGCTATTATCAAAAACTTTGTAGGGGATCCTACTACTTTTCAAGAAAAAACTTTAGAAATTTTAATGAATTTACATTGCAGAAAAATTACTGATTTTAGATGGTATAAAGATAATTATCTTGTTAAAGTTTTTTCAAGACCTGATTGTAAAGAGTCCTATTGGAAAGAACGTTTTATTGCTGGCCTTCCAAAACTCTTTGCGGAAAGAGTTAGACAAAAATTAAGAGAAAATTTTAATAATACCATCCCTTATCAAAATTTAACTTATGGAGATTTAATAAACTATATTAATAAAGAGGGATTAGCAGTTTGTACTGATCTTAGGTTTAAAGAAAAACTCAAAAAAGATAGAATTAACAGTAAAAATGAATTGGGAAATTTTTGCCAACAATATGGTTATCAGCCCTTGAATGGTCCGTCTACTTCAAAATCTAAAGTATTTAAGAAAAGATCTTCAAAATATTTCAGGAAAAAAAATATAATCTTCCAGAAAATTATAAAAGGGGTAAAGATTACGCTTCGAAATCTAAAAAACCTTATAGACTAAATTATAAAAAATCTAAAAGAAAATCAAAAGATATTATTATTTGTCATAAATGTGGGCGTAATGGTCATACATCAAATAATTGTTATGCTAAGACAAAAATAAATGAGTTAAATGTCTCTGAAGACTTGAAAGAACAAATAAGAAAAATTATTTTAAATACTGATTCAGATTCCGTTGAAAGTATTTCTGACTTTCAAACAAATGATTTAAATATTCTCGAAAATACTACTTCAAGTTCTGAAGATTCTGATATTTGCGAGTGTATTGGTAAGTGTCACTGTAACAATTTAATCAATGTAATCACTAGTAGCTCCATTAATGTTCTTTCACAAGATGATAAAGATCTTTTAAACTCTCTTGATTCTATAAAAGATAAAAATATCCAAGAATTGCTAATAAAACAGATGCTTAATAAAACTAATAACATAACTCCTGCTAATAATGAAAATTTTAATTTAAAAAATATATACGAAAGATTTACTAAAGCAAAGCCAATTTCTATGCAAGAACTTCAAGAAGAATTAAAAATAGTAAAACAATAAATAAAAGAAATAAAAAAATAAAATTTTAATTTTAGAAAAGGAAAAACCTTCTATTTTTGAAAGAAAAAATATAGAAATCAATAACGAAGAAGAAAATAAAATTGAAAATGTAACTATTGGTAAACTTATAAATAATCAAGTTTCTCAAAAATGGAACACTCAAATTACTTTAGTCAAGGATAATTTTAAAATCAACCAATAGTGGTGCTTATATGAATTGTATTCAAGAAGGAATTTTTCCTACACAATTTTATGAAAAAACTACATCTAGACTTACTGGTGCCGGAGGTACAAAATTAATTGTAAATTATAAAGTTTCTGATGTTCATATTTGTAATGTCCAAGATTACTGTTATAAAACTCACCTAATTTTAGTAAAAGATCTCTCTTCTCCTTTAATTCTAGGAACACCTTTCATTACAAAACTATATCCTTTTATGGTTCATGATGATGGTATAAGAACCAATGTTTTTGGAAAGGAAATTATATTTAAATTTTGTGAACCTCCTCTATATTCAACGATTAATATCCTTAATTATAAAACACAACAAGCCAAATATCTTATTAACGAAATAAATAATGTTCGAATAACTAATCAATTAAGTGATAATAATATTCAAAATAAAATAACAGGATTAAAATTAAAATTTGAAAAAAATGTTTGTTCTAATATTCCTAATGCCTTTTGGAATAGAAAGCAACATATTGTAAAACTACTATATGTAAAATTTTTTAATGAAAATGATATTCCTTTAAAATCTAGAGCCATTCACATGAATAATGAATTAGAAAGTCATTGTAAAAATGAAATTCAGGATTTAATAAATAAAAAACTCATAAGACCTTCTAAATCACCATGGTCTTGTTCAGCATTTTATGTCATGAATGCCGCAGAATTAGAAAGAGGATCACCAAGATTAGTTATCAATTATAAACCTTTAAATAAAGTTTTAGAATGGATTCGTTATCCTATTCCTAATAAACGAAATTTGCTAAAAAAGCTTTATGATTCAAAAATATTTTCAAAGTTTGATATGAAATCAGGATTTTGGCAAATACAATTTCATGAGGAAGATAAATACAAAACTGGTTTTAATGTTCCCTTTGGGCATTTTGAATGGAATGTAATGCCTTTTGGATTAAAAAATGCTCCTTCTGAATTCCAAATATTATGAATGATATCATAACTCCTATAAGTAGTTTTGCTATTGCTTATATCGACGATGTCCTAATTTTTTCAAAATCAATTGATCAACATTTTAAACATTTAAATCAATTTCATGATTTAATTTATCAAAATGGTTTAGCTGTCTCTGCAACAAAAATGCATTTATTTAAAAATGAAATTTGTTTTTAATGACATGATATTGTCAAAAACACTATTAGACCTATAACAAGAAGCTTGCAATTTTCTACTAAATTTCCTGATGAAATTAAAGATAAAAAACAACTTCAAAGATTTTTAGGATGCTTAAATTATATCCATGATTTTTTCAAAGATTTAGGGATCATATGTAAACCGCTTTATAATCGATTAAAAGACAATCTTGAACCATGGACTCAAAAACATACAGATATAATTAAATATATAAAACAAAAGGTCCCTACTTTGTCATGTTT